AATTACGCATTATTTCTCTTCTATTTATAGAGCTTTTTCCTGAAATATTTTCTCAAATATGAGATGATTTTTTAGCTTCCGAGGCATATTTTAAATCAAAAATCAGAGTCAATTTTTAATTCATGCTCTGTTCAGTTCATTTCAAATTAAAATACCTTTTATTTTAATAGTGAAATACGCTAATTTGTTGCTACTATTTTCTATGTACTTAAACTTTCTATGAATATTTCTGAAAGGGAAGAAAAAAAAAGGATTAAAAAAAAAATATTATTTGAAACTTGTAACTGAGTTATTATAAAATGTAAGGAAATAATAATAATTCTTTTAATACTTTTTTTTTTACACTCAGTTTCAACAACACATATTCTAAAAATTCTTCTTTACTATTCTTCCTTAAGTACGCATCCCATAGAATATGCTTTACAACACCTTTTAATAGTTTGCATTCCAGTATGAACAGTTCTTGCTTAAATAGTTTTATAAACGTATTTGTCAACAGAATTTAAATTTATGTTTACAATTCAATGTGAAGATTGTTATATATTTAAATAATATTTCTAATCATTATAAATTTAGATGTATTTATAACAAGATTTCTTCGCAGTAACTTTCAAAGGAGTTAAGAATGAGTTAATTCTTCATTTCCAGATACTTTATAAATAATTGAACAAATATATACGTATTTTGTTAAAGACAAATACATGCTTTTTGCAAGGATACGCATAAATGCCCATATATATTTAATATTTTTCATTTTCAGAGTACGCAAATCTTTAATTTGTATGCATTGGCTATATTTTTCGAGTAAAGTGATTTACAATATTTTAGCATATACCAGAATTTTAATACCCACTCAAAGGTCAATTTTGCTTCAAAATTCGTCCACGATGGCATGTCTTCCTTTAGGCAGACAGCCCTTGCATGCCTTACACTGTTTTATAAAAGCTTAACCTGACCTATGTGCCTAATTACAAATATTTTAACATGCATAATTTTATACTTACATAATTTTAATAATAATATAATTTTATACTTACATTTAGCCATCACACGTTTTTATCCATTTACACGTTTACACATTTTAGGCTACATTCATTATCAAATTCTTTCTAGTAAATATATTCTGGTAGATGGCAAAGCATTCAATACCTCTCTTAGCGATTTTACCCAGTTTAATAGTTCTCTGCTAATGTCATAAATAATAACTATCCATTTCACATGAACTTCTAATTTCCGGGTAGAACAAACTTGCGTGGGAAACTTTTAGCAATCTGGAATCAATAAGAGGACCATTCACGATCGGAACCCCTTCGTCAAGATACACGAATATTTTCACTTCCGTCAATCACCCTATTTGCGAATTCTTAATAAATTGTCTGGATGATGTGGCACGTTTATAAGGTCATATTATCTTGACCACACATGGTACTTCCGCCGAACTGGCAAATGTTTCTGTCTTCTATTCCCCACATTTGTGTCAAACCTGTATATAATTTTACACAAATGTGTGGTTACAAATGAAGAAAACGTTAAAACTTTTTAGCGTATCTGTCTATATATTTATTAATTTTGACGACGATTACGGGATTTAGTGGTAATTTCATTTTTACTGCACCGAAAGTGTAAACTCAAAGTGATTACTTTTCAGTTATATAAAAATAAAGAGTTTAAAATGAGCGACTATTAAGCCTTTCTTCTAAAAATTTAAAAAAAAAGTACATGCTACAATATTAGGAGGACAAAAAATGTATTTTATTTAAAACATAATTTTTGGAATATAAAATATAATATTTGGAATATAAAATAAATATTTGGAATATAAAATATAATATTTGGAATATTAAAAATAATATTTGGAATATAAAATAAAAGTAGCGAATGCTCTAGCAAAGGCATCGAAAAAACTATACAAATTTTCACGCTTATATCACTTAGTTACAAGGAAATTGAGCTTTAAAAATGTGTTATATTTTTGCGATATTTTGACATTTTAAAGGTACCTTAAGGTATTTTTCATTCTTTACGCATAGCATAAACATTTTGCTAAAATCTATACGTTTTGTAGTCCAGTAGCTTTGAATTTTATAAAACAAATTTATAATCAAAATCATTGTTGCAAGTTATCGAAAAACAACCAAGCTGTAATTTTTTCGTAGTTGCTATTGCCCATACAACAATGAATGTTTCTTTCATATGGAAATGTACCTGATTTTCGATAGGTGTGGAATGTCGTGTGTGGAAATACTGTCAAAGAACTTTCAAGGAAAACCTCTGGAGATCAAAGCTTGGAAACCCTGCTTCAGTCGTAGTGCGGAGTTGGACCCTCCTTGTATACCTTCATGATAAGAACAAATACTAGGAGCGGAATTACACCCACAAATAAGTAAGGGGAAAGAGGATGACTAAACTTAACTTTTTAGATTAAGTTGGGTTAGTTGAATACGACAATGCACACAAGGGTTGTCTGCCTGGGAACCGGTATTCCTTCTTGAAGGAAACGTTCTCTGAGCAACGTTACAAATGGCGGAAACCGCGAAACCAGTGATGCAGCCAGCCGGTTATTCTGGGATCGAAATACCAGTATTCTGTAGTCTGAACCTTTCGGCTTCTGGTAAGAATCATAATCTTCCAGACTACTTCTTAGAAACTCCGTAACTTTTCTAACAAGGCTACGTAGCGACTCGCTTATCAAACTATTCGGAAAGTAGTATAAGGATCTTTACTAGCCAAAATTCAAGTGGCTAAAAGTTCACTAAAAGGATTCTGTAACCGATATTATCATAGGTTATTAAAAATCTGTGTGTCACGCCCTTTTTCTCTAAGTATAAAAGCCCACCAGCGGCTGAGCGGTAAATTGGCTGAATACTAGTAGTTCGGTCCAAGGCTCGAATCCCGCGAACGGGCTAGCTGCATGGGCGTTTTCGTGATTTTCCCCTATATGTAACTTGTATACGAGCTAGTTTCCTTTAGAAAGTCCTCCACGAGGACATCCCTCCCCTTAGGCAGATAGCTCTCGAGGCTTTGTCGTAATCATAAAAGAAAAAAAAAAAAAAAATAAAAGAAAAAATAAAAAAAACTAGTTAGATAAAATATTTTATTAACTTCATTCCTAGGTAAATAATGCCATATGATAATCCGCATATTTTCACCCGATTTGAATCATGCTATATGAGTTTTGCCTGTATAGAAATGATGCTTACTCAGAGACTTTTTTTTAAAACTCAAAGTGGATGCCACTGCCAAGGGTGGCTAGTATTTCTGGAGAGGACATTTTATTCATAGGTTTAAGCTTAGAAGCTGGCTAACAACGCAGGTGAAAAAAAATGATGCATTTTAGATTCGCGTATACTAAAGAAATAGATAAAAGGCTTTGCTGTTCACAGTTATAAATCATTTTAAATGATCAGGGTGATTCTGTGCTAATGGTTGAAAGTCATAGCTGAAAACCTTCAACAACAAAAATCGATTTGTTTGTATTTGTTCCCTAGAAGACAAAAATATTTATTTTTCTAAATTGTTTCACAAGAAAATAGTAAAGATAAATTAAACTTAAATAATTCTCTTGCGCCATTGCTGCAAGGAATGGAATTTGAATTTAAGAAATATTCTCTATTCGTATAAAGCTAAAATTAAATGAAATTTTAATTTCAAAATAAATAAATAAATAAATAAAAATAAAAATAATTATTATTGCTGCGAACTAAGTTACTAAAATAACTGCAACGGTTTAACCCAAAGAACAATTAAGTTTCGCAAAAAATGAAAGAAAATTTGCTCTAAATGTGGTGGTTTATCGAAGATTGTTTTAGAAATGTTAGAAAATAATGCAGGTAAAGTCATCAGTCAGGTAATCCGAAACGGCCCGAATCACTGAGCGTTGACACCAGACAGCATTGATCAACAGACGTGTTACAATTCTCCAGGATAATATCAAATCACAAACTGTAAGAATGGAGTCTCCAAAAGGTTAATACTGAGGAATATTTTCGTTTTCTTACAAATGTCTTCCATTTATTACCTATTGGATTTCTACAGCATTTACTTATTGGGAGAAACTTCCACGGCAAACGGGAAGTTGAAAACATAATAAAGAAATTTTTTGGGTTGAAAACCAAAAGAATTCTTTCAAAAGGAAACTGAAAAGTTGCCTTAAATTTGGGCAGGAGGCAGGCATAGAAAATAATGGACATTATATCAATCATAAAATCATAAAAAGCTATTTTTTTCCTATTTGGAATTATCTGTTTCAATTCTGTATTACTTTGTGATCAGTCTGATAGTCTGAGATCTTTGCATTAAAGATTCGTTAGAAAAACGAAGGAAGGAAACAAGGTTGTAAACTAGAACTATCTAAACTTTACAGGCGACTTCGCGATCTACCGGTGTGCAAAACATACATAAAGAAATAACAGCTAACGACTAAAATAATAATAACGACTAAAATGTATGTTGCGATTGACTGAGAAACGGGTTGATCATTTCGTTTATAAGTTAGAATTTCTTACCAAAGAAAATCTTAAAACATTAGCTGGGACTGTATTGAGAAAAAGGTTAACTAAAAATATTCACTCTTAACGCGAGTTGTAACAACCTATTTTAAGACTTTTAAAGTGTACCGCTATTTTAAACCTTTGCTTAATTTAAAGGTATATTTATTTAATTAATTTCATTTTAGCTGTGTGTAAATAAGTAGCTTTCTGAAATACTTATTTCTGATATCTTTTCATTGTGATTCTTCCTAGAAACAGAAAACCACCATTCGTCAGCTGAATGATTCATCGCCAAATTCGTATAGAACGAAAAAAAGGAGTTTACTCCTTCGCGATATTAACATAACAAGCTGCAGTTTTGTTATTGAAGAAAATCCCACGCCTTTACTTGCAAGACCGAACTCTGCCCACTTCCAAAGAATAAATAAAAAATAGATAAAGCAAGACCACACCGAAACAGAAATTTTGCATCCTTAAAAACAATTGGGTCACACAATCGTCTGCGGATGTCAGCAACGGGCGCATGCGTGAAAAACTTTTTCGTTTGGCGGTAGTCCAAAATGAACTCACTCGCCGGTCGTCCGTTCCCATCACTTGTTAACTCGGACCGGCATCTGACATGTCGAGTGTGTCAGACAGCAGAGGAAATCTCAGCATCAAAAATCGCTCAGTTTCTGTGATTTATATCTAAAACGTGGCAACATATTTATTAATTAATTAAAAGACCAGTAAGTTTTTTATTTACTACGAAAAACTTATTCTTTTTTACTTTGTTTGTTTTATGCTAGTTGTCGCTTTTTTTTAAAACTAATTCTATTTTAAATATTATAATGTTTGAATGTTTTGAATTAATTGTCCATGTTTTGACAGCTTTAGAATTTTATACATTTTAAAAAAGAAATTACTATACATATTTTAAAAAATAAGCTGCCTGAAAAATGTGTACATAGCTCTTAATGGAATTGTTTATATAGCTTTTAATGGAATTCCATAACGTGTGGGAGGAGGGCTTTTCATATCAAAATTGAATTCACTGGCATTTATCAATTTTTAGAATGATTTTTTTAAATAGTATATTTTCGTTATGTTAATCACATTGAAAGAAATTATTGAAAAATTATTGCATGATATCAAAATTATTGCTGTAGTAACGTAACCAGCTAGCATAAAATTTATGGAAGGAAGTGTTTTTGATGAGAGCGAATAGCTTCCTAATCCAAATAGTTACTGAAAATGTTTTCGTCATTACACGTGATTTTGTTGCGCTCGAAGACTAGATGCATCTACTTTCTTATGACTGTTGAATACAGTGCTGAATGATTGCCCTGAAAAAGGAAGTATCAGAATGTGTTTTGCAATATATTTGAATTATAAATAACCGCTTCTAAGAACAGATTTTCTTGAAAATTTTCACACATACCTATTTGTGATGATTTCCACAAGATTTTTTTTTTCAAATTATTTATAGGTTTTTTATAATTATCGCAAAGGGACAATTTTCCTTAAGAGGCTATTAATTTCTTGTTGGCGTTTTACTTTTCAAATTATTCCCACGAAATATTAGAGCCCTGCATTGTATTTAAAGAAATAGAATAACGAAGAATCTGCATAAATGCACCTACTTTCTTTTTACGTTGTACGTATGTTTCTCGCATTGTGAAAAAAGCAACAGTACCTAGAGACATTCAATTTTGAATAACGTAGCCCTTCACTTGAATATGGACACGTGGAAGCCCAAATTTGGAATTTGGTATTTGTTTTATTATCTATTTCTAACGAATTTTTGATTAACAAACTCAACGATTTGAAAGCGAACAATGGCAACACTGTACGAAAAAAAGTTTTTTCTCCAGCTCGTGCGACTGTGTATCGTAAATTCTAAAAGATATGCTGTTTTTAAATATTTTGTAGTTTAAGTGCGAAGAACATAATATTTAATAAATAAAAGTAGCACACAAAATGGTAAAAAAAAGCGCCTTTGGACGCAATATAAAATTTGAAAGCTTTCAGATTTTTTCTCTGTATTTAGAAATGATAGTCAAATGATACTCATTGCAGAATTTTGATCTGCGCATCAATGGGTATATCGAAAAATAATCTGCCAGTAAAAGAGTTTCGAAATGTGCAATGCTATTGATATTTTTTAATGTATAATTGTATAATTTTTTTACTTTTCATGTTCCTGTTAACAATGAAGAATTTCTTATTTAAAATTCCTATTTAAAGGAATTCTAAATGTCTTAATCCAGATTGGAAAGAATAACTTTTCTACGTATGCAAGGAGCGATTTTCTTTATTTTACAAAAAGCGTAAAGTTTTTTAAGTTACACGGTTTTAGTTAAAGGTATTAAAAATGCAAAAGTGATTTTTTAGCTATCATAATATGCTTGGTCATACGTGATAAAAGTAAAATCGAGCGTCTTTTTAATACTCAGTTCACTAATAAAATTGCAGAGAACAAACAGTAGAAATGCTGTTTATTTTTTAATAGTAGAAATGACATGTAAATAATTAAGTGCAATTTGTTCAAATTTCTCTTCGAAAATTGTTTTTAGTTTTGAGCTATCAAAATTAGCTGCTACTTGAATAACAATGACAGAGAATCAATATTGGTCATCAGGATACAATAGGTATTTAGCATTTAAAATATGCTTTTACCTATGTCTGAAGGTTTTGCCCGAGGGCGCTGGCGTTATTTAAATGTTGAAGAACACAAGAGTGCTCACGTCGAAAATGCGAATCCATGGACGAGTGCCGTCACTAGCTACTGAAAGAGTCGTTTCAGCTGTAGTAAGGGAAATTTAAAGATTGAGAAACAATTAAAAATTTGCCATTTTCATTTGTGATGAATGACTCTTGGTCTTTTGTCAGTATGTTCAATAGTTGGGTTATAGTTTACAAGTTCTCTTATATGGGGGTATTCTGAATTTTGCATTTTCTGGAAAAAGTTATGGCAAATAGAAAGTATTTTGTTATGTACGGAATTGATTTTTCAAAATCATCCATAGTAATTTATTTTGAAAAACTTCTAATTTTTTATGATGGGTTTTAGCAACTCTGCTCCAAGCAGGAATACCGGATTGTAAAATGATTCGAATCATAGTATGATATAGCATACGTTTAGTTCTTATGTGGAGTTTCGAGTTTCTTCGTAGGAGAGGATAAAGAGCAGTAACCTCTGCATTAGCTTTTCGTAATGCATTCATAGTTTGTTCTTTAAACAATAGTTGTTCGTCAAAGAGCACACCTAGATATTTAATGGAGCTGTTGACTGGTATTTTCACACTATTAATTTTAATATCAATGTCAACAGGAGTATTTTTTAATATCTTCTAAAAATAGTGACGTTACACTTATTTGGGTTTAATTTAATTCTCTAGATATTGAAACAATGATCAGTGATGTTAACTGCGAATTTTAGTTTGTCAATAGCGGAATCAATATTCGAAAACCAAAGTAATTTTGAATCACTACTCGTTGCCATTCAGCGTGAAAGAAATATAAATATAAATAACTACTTGTTGGCATTCAGCATGAAGAAATATAAATATAAACGAAACGTGAAAATTAATTTTACGAAATAATGAAACACATGCAAAAATATAAAATACTTCAAATAAAAATTAATTATTACTCATGCAATAACAGGGCCACTACATATGTCTGCATCTGTGTATGGATGTGTGTGTGTTCATGTATGCACGTATATACTCGTATGTAAGCACCAATGTATGTTGTGTATATTATATTTACACATACATACACACGTGCATATATTCATACATTTCTAAATCTGATCCCGATAACGGATCAATACCAATTCAATTAATGTTGCAAATAAATTGAATTGCAGGAGTCAGAAGTTTCTTTTAAGAATAATTTTTGACGTGTTTGAATTTCTTAACTTCAATGTTGTTGTAGAAAACTATGAATATTTACTGCACTTGTGTTTACGTATTTGTTTTTATGAACTCGTAAATTTTTCAGCTGTTTTCGTAATTCATGAAATATTCATTATTCAGTCAATCCATCTCTACTATCTCTTACATGCAGGAAATGAAATAAGTGTGTTGACTGACTGGCTGATACGCTTCGCGATAGTTACAGCCGAAGTCGAATTCTGCAACACTTATTAAAAAGGATTTCAAGGTCTTCTCATTTAAACAGCAGAAAAATCTCCGTAGAATACTAACATTTCTTAGTGATATTTATGATGATGGCTTTGTTTGCCAGACGAAGCTAATTAATTTCGGTTCTTTGAATTGAAAACCGCAAAAACTGTTGTTTCAAGAAGCGAATAAAGAATGACGCATTGATTTCTGTTTATAAATAAAAGTAAATTTTAATCCAGCTGCAAAATGCTTTAGCAAAAGATTTTAAGCATAAATAGGGAAAACCTATATAATCGTAATTATTTAGAACGATTAGAGCTGTTTACAATATTTTCGCGGGTTCTTTTGCTTGTTCTTAAATAATTACGATTGTTTTATATGAAATCCTCTTCAGAAACACAATTACAGTGATAAATCGATTATCCAACATTGTTTTAGCCTTGAATATATATTATTCATCACACATCGAGGAAGTATGATAAACAGAATAATCCATCAAACAGCAAATAAATAAAAGGGGAAAACAATGTTGAATTACAATAAGCCATTGTGCAAGAAAATGCTTTTTCACAGCATTTGAAATAAGACTAAAATGCTGTTTTAAATACTAATATAGTACTTATTGTTAAATAAAATAAAAAAGAAATAATAATTGTTAAATAAAAAAAAAGCTTTCCGCTAAAATTTTCCTTGAAAGTTTTATTAAATACATTATTTGGTAACATTACACATTGTATTCAATTATTTTATTTTTAATGTGATTTTTGAGTTCCATAGTATTCTGAAATAAAGAATTATCTAGCAGTATACAACTGCATACTGCATTTCTTAAGAATACATTTAAATTGTACTTAAATAGTAAGCAAACCATTGAATTATAAAGTGAATAACTTACATTTCTAATGTTGGTGTTGTACAATGTTCTACACCAAATAGAATTTCGATTGTCCTAGCTGGTAAAAGCTATTTATATTGCCTGTTTGTTCTTCGCCGCGATGTCGATCTCGAGAAAGATGAATGATAGAACTTGTATTGTTATGCATTTTTTAAGTAGATAATTGTCGAGTACTTTGTTATAGTAATAAACCTGTCTACTCCCTTATGATTTTACAGTATTATAATGCATTCACTAACTTGCCAAAGTATGCCAAAATGAACAAGATCGCTTATTCATTTTTTCTTAGCGAGTTAAAATTAGGCGTTATTTAGGGACTTTAAATTTGTTTCGTTGATTTAAATAATGTAACACTTTACAGTTCTTATTTTTAAAGAAGCTAATCAGATAAATAAATAGCAAAATTTCTGTTGTATTTTAATGTTGGAATAGTATATGAACATTAATTGAAACTTAGATGGGTACTTGTACAGGACGATTGTATAGGAATTATAACTTGCTGAACAGTTTATTTTAGTAGAGGAAAATGTAAAAAGAAAAAAAAAATATTTTTTAAAGTTGAAATGAAAGTGAAATAAGTATTTAGGTGAATGAAACAAAATCTGGTACTTTTCTGTTAACAGCTGACAGTGGCCAAATATGGTAACCTATTTATATTGCGTCATGAATAGTTGTGCAATGTTTAATGTGTGCAATGCCAAAGACAATGCTCGATGCTGAA